TTTCAACAGAGAAACTTTTCCCCTGGCGTTTAATTCGAGTTTAATTGATCATCGTTCTTCCGGAATTGTCCTTCCAAAGTTCCCTAATTTGTTGGGATGATTTTTTTGCAGATGAGTTTCTCTTCGACATCGAGTTGGGACAAAGGAGAATTCCGGATCCAATCTCGCGACGTAGAGTAGTGGAATCAGTTACCGTGGGGTAACTAATTACTGTACCTTTCGTTTGTTTCCAAGCATAATTAACTTTATCTTTTAATTACTTAGTTTAAAATTCAATTATCAATTTCAATTTATTCTTAATTATTCTTCAACTTTCTATTTATTTTGAATTATTAATTTAATTTAATTATCATCTCAATTTTCTTATTTGAACTCAATTAGTTAGTTATTAATTAGTTATTTATTAAAATTAAACATGGAAGTGATGGAAGTTCTCCAAGTACCACGAAAATTATTTGAATTTGTTGATACTAAATTCGCGAAATACCGAACGAACGAAGATCAATATTCAATCAAATAAATCGTGCTAGTTTAAATTCTAGGTTAAATTTATTCTATTGTTAAAACACGTTAAGATTACAGAAAAGCAACACAGCGATTAGTTATTTAAATTTTTATTTTTAGTTCCAATCTCTGTTCCCCCTCTCCCCTTTCTAGTTCCCTCTCTTCTAATATTGAAAAAAAGATTTCATACCTTTTTCCTGCGAGAATTCACGTCGATAAAAGGAACTTCGAAATTTATCTTCGAGTTCCTAAACGAAATCGTTGGAGTTTTGGTATCGGAAATTCCTGAAATCCGGCAACAGGGCACAGTAATTGACCTCTCTACCCCACGAATGTTTCACTCACTTCTGCAACGCACCTCGCCCCTCGGAGTTATAAATGGCGGCTCTCTTGCGATTTCACAGAAACAAATTGGTTTCTTTGAAATCCTATTTCCGCCGAGTCCCGAAGGGATAAACCTGTATTGTGCGGCGCGTCGAAATCATTTCGTGCCCGTTTCGTTATTGCAGCGCGGCAATTCTTTGCGATTCCTGGCCCCGCGGTCTCCGATAACGCAAGCGAAATATGTTCCGTTAACGATTAGCGATTAGAATGCCGAAGGAAGATAACGCTTCACCGCCCTATATGCAGATTAACGCAATCACGACTCGCCATAGAGATTTATGGTTGCGAGTCGCGCGCGGAAGCGTTGCTGCGGGCAATGCGCGAAATCGCGCGACACGTAATAAAGTGAAATTTTAATAAGGTCCGATCGATAATTTAGTCGAATAAACCTGTCGGTAGAGCTGTTTCGGACTGGCGATGAATTCAATTAATTTAAATGGACGCGGGAACATGTCGATGCGTATAATCAACTGCTCGCACGCGGTGTAATGACGCTGAAAAATTTGTAGCAAATACGCTGTGCAGTTTATTAAAGGATGCTTGTTCAACGCAGAAAGGTTTTAATAATTTTATAATAATCGTAATAATAATAGTAATAATTTGGTTTTAATCATTTGATTCTTTCAACCCTTCGAGGACGACCCATAGTTCTCGGTTTTTTACTATGCGACCGTACAGTAAATTCTCCCTAATTTTCCTTCAGCTTGTAAATAAAAAAGAAAATTATCGAGCTTCTCTTGGGCACGTTTCAATAAAATATAGCGTTAAGAATTTCATAATAAATTATTCAATGACAATGTAGGCTTCGATAAGAGATTCTAGTAACAAATAATTTCGTTCGGTATTATTAATGACGAAAAAATAAGAGAGTTACTTGGACGAACCTTTTTCAAATTTTTCTGCCACTAATAAATGCATTAGAAACGATATTTGGCATTTCCCGTTTAATTTCTTTTGCATAAAAGAGTACCTCTATAAAAATTACTATATTTCTGATAATTACAGTAAATTCTCCTTAATTGACGCTCAGATTGTGCTCGAAAATTGATATTTTGAGAAGGGGAGGTACGATTATTCGAGCATTATTGTTTAATATTAGTAATATAATTATAATTAATTAATATTGACATTGACATTGACATTGACATTGACATTGACATTAATATTAATATTGGTATTAATATTGATATTGGTATTAATATTGATATTAATATTGATATTGATATTAATATTGATATTAATATTGATATTGGTATTACTATTGATATTAATATTGATATTGATATTGATATTAATATTGATATTAATATTGATAATAACATTAATATTAATAATAAATAAAAATGAATATTATAATTATAATAATTATAAAAACGAGGTGCAAGGCTCGAATAATCGTATCTTCTCTTCCCAAATTGTCCATTTTTGTCTACAATCAGAAGGACAATTGCGGAGAATTTGCTGTATTATGCAACGATTTTTTTCTCCATTAATGATAACAACCACTATACCTGTTGGAAACACCATAAACACCATAAATGGTCCAGAGGCACGTCTCGACGGTTTTAACATTGAAATATTAAATTTAAAAGCTAGGGGTTGGCTGTCAGTGGATGAGAAACAGTTCGATCTGTCATCCGGCTCGCGATGCAGAGGATTACCTCGCCTTCGGCTTTACACATTCCCGCTTCCTGAAAGTGTTTGCCGGCTGCAAATCCGATGCAATTGCCGTGGCCGCGGCTGTTCTACTCCATTTAATCACTCCGGCCCGTCGCTATGTATATGGAATTCGGTGATTAATATTTCCCGGTGGGCATTGTCGCTCGGAAACGCGGCTTTTCTTTGCCGTAGACCTTGATGAAGTGCCGGCGATGCACGAATTTTCACGGAATTCCTGTAATCAACGTATTCGGGTCGATTTTGCGACCTCTTTGGGCGAGCCAACCTGGCAAGTTCAGGGGGTGACGGGTCGATTTTTCTTGAAGGCGCAGCCTGGTTCCGTTAATCCCGTCGGTTGCAGAATGTATCGGCTTGTTGCAGAAGTAATTTCGGTTTTATTCGCGAGCTATCCGTTTGAAAAACCGAAGCTACTTTCGCAGTAATCCGGTGGTACGATTTTTCAATACATTTTTGATTGGGTTATTGTTGCATTTGTTTATTTTATTCGTTGTTATTATAGTCGAACGTGCCGAGGGCGAAAGGGTGAATTTTAAAATTTGGCTCCGGCGAGGAAATTAAAAGATATTTTCCAATTTATTGCTTTATACGAATATGCAGTTAATTAAATTGTAATTATTTTATTCTGTATTTTATTCTGTGTTTTATTTTGCTACTCGCAATATTGCGTAACACAATAAACATGTGTTTGTAACAGGTACTCTGCGCCACAGGAAACTTTCCTTTGTAATTTTACATAGCAGCGATAAAGAACACCCACGCAGAAGTATACGAAAATATGTTTAAGTAACAATTCATCGAAATGGGCTTGTTTCGTTGGATTGGTGTCACGCTTGTTAGTTATTGATTACAACTACTACTACTGCAAATAATAATTGAAGTGCTGCTGTGTAATAAAGCAATCCATTTGCAATATCAGATATTGCGGAAGATTAAAAAGAATTGTGAAATAATATCCTCAGATGTATATTACAATACAATAGTTTACTACACAAGGTATCCCATAATTGTGTTAATACCCGTAAAAGAATGATTCCTGAAGTCATTTGAAGTAACTTTTTCCTTAGCGAAAATGCAATCCGCGGCTTCGTTTACGAGTTATCAGCGAAAATCAGTGGCCAATGAGAAGCGAGCTCGGCTGGCGCAGAGCAGCTGAGCCAACGAGCGGACGGAGCCCAGTTGCGCTGATTGGCCCGGCTGCTTTGCGCCGCCTCGCGCCAGGCGAGTTCGGCTCTCATTGGTCACTGTTTTTCGTTGATAACTCGTAAACGAAGCCGCGGATCGCATTTTCGCTAAGGAAAAAGTTACTTGAAATTACCTCAGGAATCACCCTTTTCAGGGTGTTAACTTAATTATACGACACACTGTAAAAGAGCGTCAGTCTCAACACATAGATCTCCAGTTTTATTCAAGTTATAAATCCATAAACACGATCTCGAACAACACTTTTCACTATATACATTTTCATCGAAGCAATTCAAATTCGTCCAATCCGATCGCCGCGAATAATAATAAAAGTATCAGCCTTACTTTCTTCCCTGTATCTTCCAGAATGATTTCGAACGTCGATCCACCGATGGCATCGAAAGCGATCAAAGATTTATTTGCAATTAGCTCGAACGGCTGAATCGATTCGCGGCAAAGTCGATCCCGGCCGATGTAACTCGATCAAATAATTACTCGGACAAATAGCATTATCCGGATCCCCGCGAACAAATGTAAGAACTGGCCCCCGCACTAATCCATCGATTTCCTGTATCTCTGAATTACAGGGGCTGCGTTGAATCAGAGGCAAGTGGGATTAGGCTAATACCTTCGATAGCGTTTGTTCAAACCGATAAACAACCGCGCCGGCGTTCTACCAACCGTGCATCACCGCAGCGTGAACGCAGGCCCGTTCGTTCTGCACGGCGCGACGAGCACCAGGAACGAGACTAACCGACTGTTCCGCAAATCAAACGGTGTATCAGTGAAAACAGAGGCCGGCCATCAAAAAGCAAACCGCGAATAGAGCCCACCCCCAAGCAACGATGTCCGTTCGGCCGTCGGGTCCCGGCCGAATCTCCGAACCAGCTTTCCGCGTCTTGAATCATGTCGCCGACGGCGAGACACCTGGCTGTCGAAGAAGGTCCCACCTGAGGGCCCAAGAGGACCGCTTCTCTCCGAAAGACTATCCGGAGTAATTAAAAAATTCGTAGAAACCGAGCCGAGGATTCGATCGACTTGAAAAGCACATCCGTCGATCGAGAAGAAGCCGATCGAGAAAGCTGGAAGTTCATCGTTCGCGGACTGTGTTCCAGGTGTCACGAATATTTTTGCACGAAGTTCGGTCAACGATCCGGGCGGCGACCAGAGTCATGACAATCTCGACCGAGTGCGGCAGGCAATCATGACGCAGTAAACCAGTCGGGGAACAGTCGTAGGCCCGGTCCACCATGTTGCACGTAATGGCAGCGGTGACGACGAGCCTGCCGAATCGTGTGGACCCGACGCCCACGTCGTCCAGCAACAGCAGCAGCCCGTCGAGCACCGCGGCGAACAACGTGACCTCGGTCCCGGTGGAGAATCCGACGGTCGAGAACCTGCCGGAGAACGTGAACGTGTTCGTGGTGGTGATCAAGGGCATAATCATGGGCAGCATAATCACGACCGCGGTGCTCGGCAACGCGCTCGTGATCGCCAGCGTTCGAAGGCACAGGAGGCTACGGGTGGTGACAAACTGTTATGTGGTCAGTTTAGCAGCCGCCGATTTGTTGGTGGCGATGTGCGCGATGACGTTCAACGCGTCCGCCGAGCTATCCGGCGGCAAATGGCTGTTCGGCCGGTTCATGTGCGACGTATGGAACTCCCTGGACGTTTATTTCTCCACGGCCTCGATACTACACCTCTGCTGCATCAGCGTCGACAGGTACTACGCCATTGTCAGCCCGCTCGAGTACACCGTCATCATGCGCCAGGGCACCGTCGGCTGCATGCTGGGCAGCGCGTGGGTGCTGCCCGCGCTGATCAGCTTCATACCGATATTCATGGGCTGGTACACCACGCAGGAGCAGCTCGACTACATGGTCAAGAATCCTGAGGTAGGTTCTCTCCTTCGTTATTCTATTATCATCGTCGCACCTCGCCGTCTCGCATTTCTGTGTCGGCTTAGGCTGCTGATATTTTTAACTAGTTAGCTGCGGCGCCTTCTTTTCAGAGCGCGCGTCTGTATAGGACGTCGCGAAATTATTGCACGAGCGGGAAACGACGGGTTCCCGAGGTCATTTGAAGTAACTCTCTCCTCGGCGAAAATGTGCTGCGACGCTTCGTTTACGAGTTATTAACGAAAAACAGTGACCAATGAGAGATCGCGCGCGCCCGACGCCACGCCCTCGCGACCACTGCCGCTGCGTCAGACGGCCGGCGCGACGTGGCATTGGTCGCTAGGGCGGAGCGCCGGCTGCACTCGCGCTCCGATTGGTCGGTTGGTTTGAGGAATAATTTTGAGAGACGTAATTCAGATATATAAGTGAATCGGTGAATTAAATGTTGCAATATTTCGGTTAGAAAAACAATGTTGGTTATAACAACAAACGGCGTGAACGAATATTGATTGTCCGATGTGCAACGCACAGGTGGTTTGTCAAGAATTTCTTGCACGCGAACTGCCAAATGCACGGGCTACCGCGGCGAACGAATTGCTCGTTACTTGTAGAGTAATTATTAGGGTAATTAGTGAGTTCAGCCGGGATCAGTACTTCTTAAGCCAATCTAATCGTTGGAATCAAAACAGATTACTTCGGGCTTCTTCTCCGCCCATTATCGGTCCATCTCTTCGGATAGAAGAGATTATGCGCGTCGATTATGTGCCACTAGCGAGACTGTTTTATTCGTATATTTTCTAACAGTTTCCCGTTTCAGACGAATTTTCGTGTTTTTTAGGTTATCGAACCTCTGACGATTATGCCTGTGCTTGTCGCGAATCCACTAAATTAACAAAGAATATTACAAGCTTTATTAAGCGCGAAATCGTGTTTCATTTTTTACACGCGCACGAAGGTTTCGATTTTCTTTCGACGGACAAGTGAAAATAAGTATAACAATTGATTTACAGTTCTCAAGTGACAGATATAGACGACAATATTTCTGAATGTTTTGCTAATTTTTTTGTTTTCGTTTTTGCATATCTCGTGATAAAAGGGAATTTCACAACGTTAAATGTATGATATTCTGTTTTTAAAAAAGCACGCAATTCCATATTTGGTGACTAGAGTAGCGTAGCCCCATTTACTGTGGGCTGATCAATTGCCTGTGCCTTTATATATATATTTATCGAATAATTAAAAAATGAAACGAGATAATAAACAAATAATAATATGTCTTAATCGATGAATATAAAGTTATTCATGCTCGAAAAACAACCTAATGAAGTCGTGTAATTCGGAAAAGTTAATTTGTGGACAACGAAGGATGAATTAAAAGCTGTGTAAATTACAAGAACATAGAAAATTGTTGCAACTCTTTTATTAAAGCCGCTTTTCAAGCTGTAACATAAAATAATGAGAAAAACTTCCAGTTAACTATTGAATTAATATAATATTTATTAATGTTATATATTTATTATTAATATTAATATCATAATGTTTATTAATATTAATATTATAGTGTTTATTAATATTATATATTTATTATTAATATTAATATTATTATATTTATGAATATTAATATTTATTATTAATATTAATATTATCATACTTATGAATATTAATATTATTATATTTATTATTAATATCAATATTATAATATTTATTAATTAATACAATTCAATAACATTAAATCAAGCCAGCAAAAAATCGACTTACACCGCTCTTGCTCCGCGCGCGCAAACGATTGCAAAACTGCTCGCAGAATAATCGATTTCCGTTTAGCTCGGAACGATTCCGCAGCCACGAGATAAATAACAAATAACTCGAATCGATTCCCGTACGGCGAAATTTCGGCGGAACCGTTCAGGCCGAAAGGGAACGATCCATAAAACGGTTACAGTCGAACGGTGTAACTGGCTTTGTTCCTCTCGGGCTGCGGGTTGTCCGGGATCGATTCTTCGAGAAACTATCCGACGAAATTGCGACGCGATTTCCGGAGGAGGAGATTTATCGACAGGGGCCGCGGCAGCTCGGCCGGTTAATAAGCGTTCTGGCCAGGACACAGAATTGTCAATGCTAACGATAATTCTTCAGGGATAAGAGGATTTGCGCGCAAGGGTCTTCTCCAACGATTTGCATGCGAGCGAGCGAGCGCGCCCGCGCGCGCGCACGCGTTAGGGTCAAATCGACCAATCATGCCCTTCACGTCGGCCACGTAATTTGCACTATTGTTTCCTCGATTGGCTAATTTGGTTATGCATAGCGGCCCCGATGCATCATGGGAACACCGGCGCCGTTACGCGTCCCGCCGTGTTATAAATTCAGAAGTAACGGTAATTTACTAACGGAGAGAATTGAATTTCCATCTCGACGAAACGTCGATCGTTCCATATTCATCGGATCTCTAGGAAATGCTTCGATTTTCTACCGATTCGCTATCGGAGAACGGTCCCCGAAGTTTGTCGCGCGCGCGTTTATCAGCGCCGACTGGTTCCGTTTGTCCGATCTCGTTCCGGGTTTTACGAACAGAAAGAAGAACTCATACCGGGACTGGTAAATTGGCAGAAAAGTCGCTGGAATAAAAAGCTCGAAAGTAAAGCGAAACTCCGCGTCCACTTCGTTTCGCAAGCGTAAATTTGCCTCGGCTCGTGTTTGCGTCGACTACCGGCAACGTTTCCGGAGTAATTGTTTATGTAAATTAACGGAGGTGACGGCATTTGTGTGCCACGAATATCGACGTACCGCAACGAGCAGATGAGTGCACATACTGTGCATGTCCCTTGAAGATTATGCTACAAATTTCTTTATTAATCGGTCCGTTTTGGGTGATTGTAAATACTGGACTGCGGATATTTATGCAAAATAGGAATGTTGTGCATCGCTTGCATGATACAAGAGCTGCATAGAACTTACTTTCTTCCAAACTTTCTTTCAAATTTAACGATTCGAATAGTTTGAAAATAACATATCGATATTCTTAACTTTTTACACCTTTTTGGTGTTTAAAATTTTATGTAGTAATTTTGCAATAAGTGCACTAGTTTTAGCATTAATTCTAATAAATTTAGAACATGGAACTAAACGTAGAACTTCTTTTCTTCTGACAACGATTTTAATACTTTGAAAATAACGTATCGATATTCTTAATTTTTTACATCTTTTATATTATATTATATTATATTATATTATATTATATTATATTATATTATATTATATTATATTATATTATATTATATTATATTATATTATATTAAAATTTCACGCAGTCAATTTTGTAATAAATGCCTTAGTTTTAGCATTAATTCTAATAAATTTAGAACATGGAACTAAACATAGAACTCCTTTTCTTCTGTCAACGATTTGAATACTTCGAAAATAACGCATCGATATTCTTAATTTTTTACATCTTTTCAGTGTTTAAAATTTCACCCAGTCAATTTTGTAATAAATGCCTTAGTTTTAGCATTAATTCTAATAAATTTAGAACATAGAACTAAACATAGAACTCCTTTTCTTCTGTCAACGATTTGAATACTTTGAAAATAACGCATCGATATTCTAAATTTTTTACATCTTTTCGGCGTTAAAAATTTTACATAGTCAATTTTGCAATAGATTTTGCAATAGATCAATTTTGCAAATTTAGATTATAAATTCGTTCACTATTTAAAACAATTTTGCTCGTCACTGTATAAGCCACGAAAATGAGCACATTTATTAGAGGTCCATCAAATCATAAAATATACAGGGTGTCCTGTTTAAGCGAGTGCATCAGGATATCTCTGAAGGAGTTATTGTTATCAAAATAATGTTCCTACAAAAGTTATTTGATAGGACGGGCTACATCATTGGCATCGGTTTCCTAAGGAAATGTTAAACTTTGATCTATGTCACTTGCTTCTATGCATAAACATTTAGTTCCAATATTTTTTGTACGATGATACTTTTTACTAGAACGAAATGATCGTTCAGACTCCGAATTTGTTCAAATAAGGAAGGAAATAAATAAGTTATTTTTCATATCCTGATCATTAGCATGCTTAAAATGTCCTGTTATTCTGGAGTGAGTATTTCATAGATCTCATTTTCTCATCAATAATTAAACACCGTCGATCAAATTCCTGTTCCAGAATTAAACTGCAATTTCTAACTGCAGTATCGTTTTATTCAATCGCGATGAATGCGATGAATGGATCGAGTCCTACGCGAATCCGACGATTAGCGTGGCGCGCATAATTGCCGTAGTGCATCATATTATAACGACGACTCCATAAACCGTTCGCGAGGTGTATCGAGATGTATTTATAACGGTGCTAAGTACGTTTTAATGGATGATACATTTCTCACACCTGAAGCAGCAATTGCTCTCGAAACTTCTACAATGCTCTGTGAAACGCTTGTGCGCAAGATTCAATGAATTCAAGTGTTCGCAACGCTTTCCCCTACACGCTGAAAGTAGAACAATTTCTCTTTGTAATTTCATAAGCTGTTGATACGAATGCTCCCGCGTTGTTTACACGCAGGGATGAAAAAGTACGCGACTTTTTACTGAAACGGGAAAGCAACGCACCGTCAAAGTAATTCGAAAACAGCTTTGTCTGCATGCTGAGAGGCTTTTGCGATAGTTAACGCTGTGAAATTAATGAGATATTTGTAGAAATAAATTTGCTAGATTGTTACACTTTTATGCGAACGTTTCTTGACGCTTTATTATATTAATATAATATAATATATTATATTCGTATC